AAGCTGCAATTTACGTTCGCAAAAAGACTGACGCGAAAGAAATATGGGATACACTTTTATCAGTGTTCGAACAATCCACTTTGCAGCGCCTGTACACGCTATTCGACAGTTTCTTCGAAATCAGGAAAGATGACGCTACTTCAATCACCAAACACGCATCCCAATTGGCAAATTTGTTCGATGACATTCTCGCAGAACTTCAAAAGGGCAATCCTCATGCAACGCTCCCGGTATCTTTGCTGCATCACAGAATTTTCAAAACGCTCGGTCCCGAGTACCAATATTATCGTTCGACTTGGTATCGCGTTCCTGAACTTGAGCAGACGACAAAACTTCTGATCGAGAATCTCCGATCAATTGAAAATTCAGTCTCGTCACAAGGCGCGTCGCATTCGTCAGGTGCTTTCTTTGCTAAATCTAAATCTCAACAACACACACACACAAGAAACAAAACAAACATTCTCAAAATTTATCTGCAAGAAGCAAGAAGGAGAAGCGCGCATGTTTGTACTGCAAGAAATTTGGTCATGTCATCAGTAATTGTCGGAAACGTAAGGCTGCAGAACAAAACAAGCAAACAGACGATGACAAGACGGAACACAAACAACACTCCAGAGGAGGCTCGTTTTTCGCTACAGGATTGACTGTCAACATCGATGTCGCTTTAGCTGACAACTGTATCTCGGACTCCGGCACAACGCACCACATATCGGCAAACAAGCAGCATTTTGCTACTTTCGAGAAGTTCCCGATTCCACAGCCCGTTCAAACGGCCGGCAAATATTTCATTCTGGCGTATGGATCAGGCAGGGTCGACGTTGAGGTTCGCATCGGTGACAGGTTGTCGACTGCAACGCTGAATGATGTTTGGTACGTTCCCGAGGCACGTCATTAACTTTCCTCCACCCGTCAATCTGCTCAACGTGGAAATGACATTTTATTCGATTCAGATGGAGTGAAAGTTTTGTTTGATGGTGAACTTGTCGCGACCGGTCAACTTGTCAGATCTGTGTACGTCATGGACATGCGCGTTTGCATCCCAGAGATGTCCATCGCAAAAGCTAATCTCGCCACATCAGCTGACGTACTTCAAGGATGGCACGAAAGATTCGGACATCAAGACAAACGACACGTGCGTGACATTTTGTCTCGTTTTGGCATTTCGTGCAAGTCGTCTGACACATCGGACTTTTGTGACGGTTGTGCGTTGGGGAAATCGCACCGCAAACCTTTTCACTCGCGTGTCGATCTCCCAACTACTGTTGGTGAGCTGATTCACGCTGACGTGAACGGCCCGATGTCTGTTAATTCGATTAACGGTTTTCGTTACTACGCGGTGTTTAAAGATGACTATTCTCAGTTTGTTCGCATATTTTTGATGAAGCGCAAATCGGAAGTGGCTGGACATTTGGACTCATTTCTGAGAGAGTGTGATACCGCTGGACATAAAGTGAAAACTTTTCGTTCCGACTGTGGGACTGAATTTGAGTGTGAAGATGTGATGAAGTTGTTACGCGAACGAGGAATCGAGTTTCGGCCGTCGTGTCCGTATACGCAGCAGCAGAACGGAGTCGCAGAACAGTGAAACCGTCATGTCGTTGAGCTGGCACGTTCGATGCTGACAGTCAGCGGTTTATCAAAATCTTCTTGGGCACATGCTTGTGACACCGCTGTATACGTGATCAACCGGACCGGTAAGTCACGTGTTCCTGGCAAAACACCGTTCGAGATGTGGACCGGCAGAGTTTTCGACAGCTTGATCACCTGAGAATCTTCGGCACAGAGTGTTATGTGAATGTGCCAAAACAGTTCCGAACAAAATTCGACGCCAAAACTGTGCTTGGTCGTTTTGTTGGTTACGTCAACGACAAGGATGGATACAAAGTGTGGGTACCATCAAAACATCGCCTGATGAAGTCACGAGACGTCGATTTTCGTCCAGAAAAACTTTGTACTACAAAGAATAGAATCGACCTTGAATTTGGAACTCACTGTGATGACCAGGATAACCAAGACGGGGAAGCTGAGACCGACGACCAGACTGGCGCTGAATCAGGCTATGAAAATTTTGATGATCTTCCTGAAGAGACTGACGATGCTGGATGTGAACTTCCTGAGAATGCTGCTCAACCTGTACCAGGAGAAGTTGTCCAAGGATGTTGATCGATATCGTGCTCGTTTAGTTGTTCGTGGAATGTTTCAACGTCCTGGACTCGATTACGACGAAACATTTAGCCCGGTCGCCCGGTACGATTCCATCCGAGCCTTCATCGCAACTGCAGCCAAAGAAAACCTTGTGCACTGCCTTTTTATATGACAAACTTGACACTGTTTTCTATATGAGACAATCACAAGGCTTCGATGAATGAACTGAATACGTCTGTCGTCTAAACAAAGCTGCATATGACCTCAAGCAATCTCCCCGTTGCTGGAACAACGAGCTCAACTCGTTCATGAGAAAGAACGGTTTCATACGTTGGAAAGCCGATCTGTGCGTCTACACGAGGACTAGAGGAGGAGAAAAATTGCTCTTCGCATTTTACGTCGATGACGGTCTTATTGCTGGATCATCGCAGGCCGTGGTCGACTCGTTCTTGAAATTGCTGACTTCGAAATTCAAGATCACAATTGGATCTCTCGACTCATTTTTGGGGATGCAGATCGAGCAATGAGAGTTTGGTTTCTTCCTGTCGCAGCGCATCTACGTTGAAAAGATTCTACAACGATTCGAAATGACAAGCTGCAAACCCGTGAAGATACCTGCGGACAACGAGAAACCCGACAACTCAAACGACGAGCCCCTCGACAAGTCCATTCCATACTGTTCTGCTGTTGGTTCCTTGCTGTATCTGGCCTGCGCTACACGCCCAGATATAGCGTTTGCTGTTTCGAAGGTGGCACGAGCGATGGCGAACCCCACAAAGTTCGACTGGAATTGCGTTAAACGCATCTTCAGATACCTCCGGGGCACTTCTGCATTGGGTCTGCTTTACACTTCAACTGCTGACGGACTGTGTGCCTATTCTGATGCTGACTTTGCGGGAGACGTCAAGACTCGACGATCAACCAACGGTTTCTTGTCCTTGATCAACGGCACAGCAGTTTCGTGGACCTCACAACTGCAGAAATCAGTCGATTTGTCGACAACCGATGCGGAATTCGTTGCTGTGAGCGAAGGTGCAAAGGAACTGGTGTGGCTCAATCGACTGCTGTCAGAAATTGGTACCTCTGGAGAGACACCAATTTTGTTCGTCGACAACGCCAGTGCCATCAAGTTGGTGAAGAATCCGGAATTTCACAAAAGGACCAATGATGTATGTGTGTGTGAGAACGTGCAGTTGAAGAGGTCGTGTTTGAACTCACTTATTCTCGCGTAGAAAACATGCACGTATTTAAGTTTGGCGCTTAGCTGCTGTGCTTGTGCCTTGCGTGAATTGGCAAGGATGGCCTATCCAACTGTTTTTGTTTTTTGACTCCTTCGAGAAGGTCAGTCTTTGTAAAGCCGTTGAGCTGATATCACAAAGAAGAAAATGTGCCTTTCGTTTACGTTATAATAAACTTATCTTTTCTTTTCTTTCTAAAATATATCGCGTTTTGTTACCATAAAACCTGCATAACTATAAACAATATTTTTACTGAACACATTTGCATATTTTTTCTTGATGTAGCACCAACATAAATCATCAGTAGAAAAATATGCGGGGTGAAAAAAACTACAAAAGTAAATTCTTTAAATTTGACATAGGACTTGTAGATTTAGAAAATGCTTTTGACAATGTTAAAAGGATCATGATGTAGGGATGAGTTACAGAGATAGAAGAGTAATACTTAGTTTGTATAGAGACCAACAGGCAGTTATAGAGCTGAAGCAGCAACGTAGAGAAGTAAATATTAGGAAGCGAGTCAGACAAGGATGCACACTGTCACCGCTACTTTTTAATATATACATCGAAGACGCGATTAACATCATTAAAGACAGTACAACTGTAGGGATAGATAAACAAGAGTAAAAGATCAGTATGCTTAGATTTGCAGATGATACAGCAGTATTAGAATCTAGAAAGGAGGAGTTAGAGTTACATAAAATGGAAGCGGTAATAACAACAGAGTGTTGTATGAAACTAAAAAGAAGTAAAAGAAAAATACTGGTACGCAAGGGAAGAAAAACTAGGGAAAGAGCGAATATAAAGATAGGATAGGAAGCGAAAAATTAAAAATTGCTGATTTTCGGTATCTAGGAAGTCAGATAAGTCAGATAGCATAGAGTCGTGTTGCCTTTAATAAAAACAAGTCACTTCTATACTCGGGAATGATTCATTTAGAAAATATTGTTAAAGGTGTATGTCTGGAGCGCGGCGCTGTACGGGTGCGAAACATGGACAGTGAGCGCTGCGGAAAAGAAAAGGTTAGAAGCGATTGAAATGTGGTGTTACAGGCGAATAATGATGATACTGTGGATAGAGAAGGTTAGAAATGAAGAGGTATTAGAGAGAATAGGAGAACAGAGGACTTTATGGAAGTTAATAAGAAATAAGCGAGATAGGTTAGTAGGACACTTTCTCAGGCATGAAGGTCTAGTCAGATACATATTAGGGGCAGAAACGGAAATTAGGAGGGGTAGAGGTAGACTTAGATTAGTTTACTGTTCACTGTTTCAGGGAAATGCGCAAATTAGCTTAGGATAGGAAAGAGTCGAGGTGTGTATCCAACCAGTCTTAGGACTGACTACCTTATGATAATGAGCTCCAACGTGACTCGTTATGATTACTGCGACAGCCTCAGACTCATTTCTTTGTTGCTTCTATTATTTTACAATCATCGAATATTACTTACATTTCGTTATCTATCTTTAATGTGTGTTATTTTATTCACTCTAATGAGAGAGAGACTATAATAACAAGATTTTCTCTAATGACAGTGGATACTGATGTCTAAGCTTACTGCACTTACCTGTATATTTTCTATAAATTATTTATATTAGTTAACGTATAGGTACTAACCGGGTCTGAGAATGCAACGGTGTCTAATGTTGCTAGTGTGGACAAAATAAGTTTTTGGGCAAGCAGAAGAAATGATTTTCCAGAACCTTGTAAACATTTTATGGTTTTTCCAGCTCTTAAAGCCAAATTTCTTAAGTAACTCACATACTTTTCTCCATTGGCACTTTTTTCTTTAAGATCCATTCCCATTTCTGCCATGATGATTGCACTATGTAGCATATGTTCTGCGGATGATCTAATGCTTATTATTTTAGCGTTAGTTGATTCAACAGTGCTAGTAGGATTCCATTTTGATTTATATTTATATCCATCAGGATCTCTGTTTACAGAATCCATCGTTCTACATGGAAGAAAAATCAATGATATATTTGACAGACTACTAAGAAAACAAAATTCGTAATAATTTTTTTGAGAAGCATGCTTTGACTATTATCATCTCTAATTTAACTGATTATTTTGACGTTTTCTGTTAAGTGGACTAGAAGTGATGAAAACATTATCTTTATTGTATCGTTATATAAGTATTATGGTAACTAAGAGGCATAACAATAACAATTAGTGTTTATTGAAAAAGTGATTTTCCATTTGTCCTTTTTAGTTCTTTGAGGTAAATATAGAGAGTCACGCAGTTGTAAGAAGAAGCTTATTTTGTTGCTGATTAAATAATATTAATAAATGTATTACTGATTACACTGTATTTTCAGCGATGTTGTACAATATCAGTTCTATTTATGTCAATTATTAAATAAAGTATAATAGTATCATCGATAGCATGTTCCACGTATGCTAAGCAGCTGATTGCTTCAATATACCCACATAATGAGAGTAACTTTTGTGGTGCTCTTTGAATTCTCTTTAATGTTATTTTCTACTAATAAAATAGTCAGCTTATGAAGATAGCTGTAAAATTAACATAAATCAAAATTTGAAAATTTTTTTCAATTCTCTCTGTAAATGTCAGTCTGGACATATCAGTTAACAGTTATTTTCATTAAACACGGAAACAGATAATTTTGTTGATGTGCTGCTGATGTAATGAAATGTGAGGTGTAATTGAGTTGTCTTTTAATACGATTTATTTATTGAAAAAATTTAAAAACAATATTGTAGGTTTGAGATACCGCTTTTATGAAAGAATAAGAATAATGTTTATTCACAAATAACTTATGTTTGTATAGACCGGTCAAATATGTGGAATACTAAAGTTAGTATGTAACATATGTGGATGACGATATATTACCAGACCGTTATTTTCTAGAAATTTGCTTACTTGAAGCAATTTCGGCATGATTGGTAATGGTATGCTGTAGAGAAGTAATAGCTGCGAAATCGCGTTTCACATTTAGCTGACTAAGAACTTTCTGTTCTTTAGTAAATTGGTTTGCTTAGTTATTATTAATATGTAGGTATCTTAGTAAGATTTTGTTGAGGATTATACGCGCGTCAAGTGGAGTGACGTCATCTAGTATGACTGTTTCAGTTAAAACGTACTATGCCAGAATGATGTTTTAAAAGACATTTATTTTACTACATTTATTTGGTTCGGTCAATCAAAAACATTTAATTATGGAATTAAGTTTTATGAACAATTAACATAGATTCAACTTGTAAGGTAGACTGTAAAACGAGAAAAAGAGCAGGCTTACACAATACCTAATTAATTATCTAATATTAGTCCAGGCTGTATTTTTTTATCAAATTGCAGCATATATCTCAGAAACTGTTCACTTAGAAGAAAAGTCGTGAGGAAGATACATTTCCGTAATTAAATTTCCGATAAAGTGTAATCTTTAGGTATCTAGGAAGTCAGATAAGCTAGGACGTAAGGAGTAGTAGGGATAGAAGTCACTGCTATGCTCGCGAACGGTTAATTTGTTTTCAAACCACAAAATTCATTTTCTCCATTGCAAAAATGTAAAAAATTACAAAAACAAATTAAACATATACATTAACTTGCGGATTTCTATTTATATACCTGCATTACTCCTAATACCTTCATACTAGGTTAAAGAAAACTTTTTATTATGGGTAATCACACTAAATTTCACCTAGAGCGGATTTATGGTTTTTGCATAATAATTATAATAACAATTTACGTTTATGATAGGCAGTTTTTAGTCGTGGGCTGATTGGTGGAAGACGGGGCTTAGTTTTCCTTCTGTCAAAGTGACGTTTTGAGTGATCCATGTCACGTATAATTTATATTCTCTGAAGAAAGTGTTGATAATAATTGTTTGTGAGTTTAAACAGTTTATTAATTGGATCGTTATTTTTTTATGATTCTTTGATTTGATTTTCAGGTAAAATTGGTTAAAAGTTTTGAAACAGGCAATGATAAAATTGAAACTATAAGTGTATTATATTACAACGTTGTTTATAAATATTTTATAACACTAAATATCTGAAAAGAATACCTGTGAGTTAGAGACTTTAAGAGTACCAATACAAGAATATTTTGTTTGAAAAAATTTGAAATTCGTGATAACTTGAATAGTTTCAAGAGTACATAATAATCGTATGTTTTTTTTTGTTATAAAATTGCATTTTTTTTGAAAAAATACTAAGAAAATCAAAACACTAATATAATAAATGTTTTTTTTTAGATATTTCTACTGTATTTCATATCCTGAAATTATTAGTCTAATCGCAGTATGGAGATTGAGGTATACATAAATTAATAGGTAAAAATTACATTTTACCAAATTATAATATTTCAAGAAAAAACAAAATGGGACTACAAAAATTGTTACAACTGTAGAAGAAATAGACTAAAAAATTATGTCGTCAAAGAAGTCGTGAATATCAACGTAAATATCGTAAAAATCATTATCGAAGCGAGATTGATCTTTTTAGGTTACCTTCATCAAGTAATTCAATTTTGAACTCTCATGACTATTCGATCAATAATGTATCAATAATAGATGAGTTATCTTAATTAAATTTTAATACGGTATGAAGATACAAATGAAATATATATAAGAGAAATAAAACATTTTTCAGCTGAAAGAGTAAGAAATTTATTCTTTTAATGATTGTTGTAGTCATGGAAAAGTCGCTTTAGAATGTCTACTAGCTTTTCTAAATAAACTTCGTTCTTTATTCGATAATACTGATTTAGAATCTACATATTCAATGACGAATACGTATTTATATATTTTTTTGCATTTTTCATAATGTGTTAAGAATATCATGATAATCGGTTGAGTAGAGGTAAAAAGCCGAAAATCAAACAAACTCACATTCGTAATTTTAATATTCCTTAAAATTTTGATACAATGATTTTATACGGATATGCCATTTTAATTTTGAGTGGCCTACCTATCATGAAATTAACGTGTTTAACTGGTCGGTTTTATTTTAGAAGAAAACGTGCAATACCCAAATTGATTTCATAATTATCATTCCGGTTCTCCTTTTCTACCTGAAAATATTGAACCACAATTCTGCACATCTAGGATTTCTAAATTAATCATCAACATCATAAGGTCGTTAGTCCTAAGACTGGATAGACACGCACCTCTCTTCTTTCCTGTCCTGGGCTAATCTTCGCATTTCCCTAAAATTAGAACATCCCACACCTTTAACTATTTGTGCTTCTAATATATCTCTGACTAGCCCTTCATGCTTGAGAAGGTGTCATACCGACCTATCATATTGACTTCCGTCCTCTGTTCTATTCTTTCTAATATCTTGGTATCCTTATCATTCGCCTGTAATACCACATTACGAATGCTTCTAACGTTTTATTCTCCTGAGTTATCCTAGATATCGAAAATCAGCCACTTTTACTATTTTTTGTTACCTATCCTTATATTCGCTCTTTCTCTATTTTTTCTTCCCTTGCATACCTGTATTTTTATTTTACTTTTATTTATTTTCATATATACCGCTTCCATTTTCTTTAAGGCTATCTCTAACTCCTGCTTGCTAGATACTAATACTGCTATATCATCTGCAAGTCTATGCATACTAATCTTTTGCCCCTGTATATATCCCTATAGTTCCTGTCTTTAATGATATTGATCGCGTCTTCGATGTATAGATTAAAAAGTAATTTACTTCTTTACGTTGTTGCTTAAGCTCTATAACTGCCTGTTGCTCTTTATACAAACTATGTAACACTTTTCTCTCTCAGTATCTTATCCCTACATTTTTTTAAGTACATTTAACATCTTGTCCAATTTAAAATTGTCAAAAGCTTTATCTAAATCTACGTATCCTATTTACGCACTATTTCGTTTTTTCTATTGTTACCGGTAAAGCTAGAATGATCTCTCGCGTTTCTCTATCTCTAAACTCAAATTGATCTTTCCCTAATGATTCTTTCGTCTCTTTGTTCCATCTTTCTCCGTACGATTCTAGTTAAAAAATTTTACGCATGGGAAGTTGGAATTGTTCTAAATGTCTCGCACCTATCCGCGCCTCTCTTTTTAGGTATGGTTACTACCACGTTCCGCTTATAATCCTCCGGGACTTTCCTTGCCTCGTAAATGTGACTAACCAACCTAAACATACGATTTCTAACCTCTTGTTCTGCATATTTTAGGATTTCTGCTTGTATACCATCTGTGCCTGATGCATTAATAATCTTTGAGTTTTTTAATGCTACATTAAACTCTCATCTCTTTATGGGATGACCTAGCTCACCTATCTCTACACTATATTCCTTCACTAATCTCCTAACTCATGGTCAGCGTATACATTCTCTTATTATTCTTTCCATCTATCTGCTTTTTCCTCATTTTCCATCAAAATGACCCCTGCCTCGTTTTTTATAGTATTGCTGCTGTACCCTACTTGTCTAAAATTCGTTTTAATAAAATACCGAACTTTAAAACGAACTATGTGTCATTATCTAAATTTAAAGGAAGCTGTAATGAGTGGGTTAAAGCGAACCAAAATTCACAGAATACTTAAATTTAAGCAAGAGGCATTTGCGAAACCTTATATTCAGCTTAATACAGATGCGATGAATTAATCCTCCGCAAAATCGGATAAGGAATTTTTTAAAAAGATGGTGAATTCAATTTTTGGAAAAACTTGAGAATGTTGACAATAAACGATTTACGAATATCAACGCATTGGGCAAATTTGTTTCAAAAACTGCAGTATTTTCTCACAAAATTGTACACCCATTCAAATGGAAAAGCTTAATGCTATTTATAATAAATCAATCTTTTCGATTTTACCATCTTGGAATTAATGAAGATTCCTGTGAAAAGTTTTTATTATAATTTATGTAAACAGATAAGGATAACGCTTCTTTGTTATATACGGATACCGATTCCTTGGTTTTAAAAATTTACTATAACTATTTCTATAGTGAGATCAAAAAACACTTTGATATTTCCAATTATCCGGAAGAAACTGTTTATAACATACCACAAACAAGTTAAGTAGTTGGTAAGATGAAAGACGAGTATGCAGGAATTCCCGTAAAAAGTTTTTACGGTACTGACGTCAAAGCATATTGTGTTAAATTGGATGATGAAACAATGATTAAAAAAACAAAAGGTATAAAACGTTCTATTATACTACACGAACTAAACGAGGGTTATTACTTATATACCGTCATAGCCAGTAAAAAGCAAATAATGAAGAAAATGCCTGTTTTTTCATCTCGACTACATGACGTGTACACTCAGTTGAAATATAAAGTTGCTTTAAGCCCGAACGATGATATACGGTTCATTATTCTACGCACTACTAAAACTTTACTGTGGGGTCGTGAAGTCTTTCCTGTAATAAGACGCTTACATAATGCAATCGAATACGTTGGAACGTTAGTTAACGGTCATGATTATGATGAAGAAGGAGAGAGGGTATTAGTTACTACATTAAATAAGTTATTTGTACAAACGTTGTACGTTGCACGCCAAATTAATATTATGCAACTAGTTAAATTGGATCGTGATTTCGATGAAGAATAAAAATTCACTGTTTTATTTAAAACATTTACTGGAACTTCTATTCTAATCAATAAAAACTAAACTTCAACGTCTAAATTAAAAACTATCAAAATTCGTCCGACAATGGAAACTATTTTGGATGGTTACTGGATGCAAAACTTACTTGATTGAAAGATGAAATGTGAATGTTTTATTCTTAATGTACTATGCAACTATATCTACCAACAGGTAAATTGGTGAATATTATTTTAGCGGGGGCGAATAATTAGAAACTGAATATAACACAGAATATGGAAAGCCCTATCATTAAATGTGAGCACAATCGCCATACAACATTTCTTTCCAGTTTATAAGGGTTCTGTGAATACCCAGGTAAAATGTAAACTGGTCGTGTTGTTACTAACTTAGACACTATTTAAAATTACAAATATGAATTTAAATTAAAAATATTTGAAGTACAAAAAAAAGAAAAACTTAGGACGTAANATTGGTGAATATTATTTTAGCGGGGGTGAATAACTAGAAACTGAATATAACACAGAATATGGAAAGCCCTATCATTAAATGTGAGCACAATCGCCATACAACATTTCTTTCCAGTTTATAAGGGTTCTGTGAATACCCAGGTAAAATGTAAACTGGTCGTGTTGTTACTAACTTAGACACTATTTAAAATTACAAATGTGAATTTAAATTAAAAATATTTTAAGTACAAAAAAAAAGAGAAAAACTTAAAATGCATTTGAAAATGTTTCAAATAAGCTAAGAAAAAATGATCAACTTTTTGTTTTTATTACTTGTACTAATTTACATGATCAACTACACTATCCACCGAGAATATATGATATATTTGCAAGTGATGAAATACCTTTTGACGAATTGAAAATCTAAATTTATTATTTTGGTTTGTATCGAAAGTATAAATGTGGAGAACACTGTGAATCTCCCACCCAGAAGAGGGAGAGGGAACTAACATAAAACCGCTGAGATGTGTCTTTTGGTCCCACTTCATCTCCAACTAAGCCACCAAGTCGATATCGGTTTCGAAGAGAAGCGCACCTTACAATCGTTGAGTACATATTGGTGAAAAGTAATAGTTCAATGTGGGAAAATAGTGCATACTAAATAGGGTCTACGTCATTTGACTAATTAAAATGATTGTAGTGTTTCTACCTGGTCGCTGTATAGTCCAGTAGCCAAAACTTCTTTTTTATCGTTTGAGCTTATATCTTGGCTCCTTCGCAATTTTTATATAGTATAAGTACTTAGAAAGTTGTTCCTTGGTGAATTTCCTAAAATTTGAGCCCAACCGGAAATTGCTAAGTGTTTATTGTTGCAATCAGCCCGTGAATTTTAAAAACGCCTCTTTTTTCGATATTTTTTTCACGAAGAAGAAATTAGAACCGATTTTATAATGTTTTCTACGCGAACCACCTCTTTTTAAATGATGTATAAAATGTTATGTTGTTTGAAAATTTTCCAACGTTCTGACTATATCTTGTAAATACGCTTCAAAACGCGTATTAAAAAAAAAGAATGTCCTACGACCTCAGGGAGTTGAGGTATTTTTTTTTAATTCCTGTACTATGCAATATAAATCTTTGTGACAATTTTTTAAATAAATGATAATACAAAATGTTTGTATTCTACGGGAAAAAATACAAAAGGACCAATTATAAAGACATACCTAGGGGAAAGACCCCCAGTTTATTTAGTTTAACATGGTGATTCCTTTTTAGTAGCATATCCACTACGGCCCCCAGTGGTGCGAGATTGAGATACGCTCAATCAGCGCGCGATGACTATGTCACCGTTACCAGGTACTTCCATTTGGTTAGCAAAACTATCGGGAACCCTATGGTGCAAACGGGACCTATCTAATCCCTACCAAGCTTAGCAGGCTTGGTACCCGAGCGGAACGCCGTTCACCCGTAGAGATAACCCAAAAGCAGAAGACACTAGTGCGTCAACTCTCCCCCAGCATGTGGGGTCAACCACTGCCACTATGAGTCCAACCTCTGGTCAGCCGGGCAGACAGGAAAGATCCCTGCTTGGAGCACCCGG